TTTTTAAAATGTGTTGTTTTCTTTTGTTTTTTCTATGATATTTAATTAAACTCAAGACCTCTGTTTTTTGGAAATCAGTATTTTCATCTTTTAGACATTCTATAGACAAAAATTGCTCCTCAAGAAAAAAATGGACATACGGAAGATAATCATTTGCTGAACTATTTTTGATATGGTCCCACACTTAATCGGGATGCTAGGCAGGCAGGTTGTGAAGTGAAGCTCAGATGAAACCAGATCATGTTCTCAGTGCCAGTCCACATCAGCTGACGCCTCGTGTTATAGTTGTATATACATTAAGCTGCTTTAGCCTGCCCACAGATACTGTTAATCTGCAAGCCAATTTGAAACCCACCTCCACCCCAGCTCCTCCTTTCTGATTAAATTAATGTCCTATCCATTCTCCCTGACGACTGCTCTATTCTGTTCCGTGTCTTTTTGCTGCTTTCCACACCTCTGTAAACACCCTGAAGGGCGCCACATAAAAATGACTACAAATAGAAACATTGAGCATCTTTTGAATGTGCTTGTGCTCCTGACTTAAGTTTGAATTCAGTCAAAATTAATTCTGTGTTCTTCGAGCAAAGTACAAACAGTCTGTCCAAGGAATGCTGGGCCGACACTTCTGCTTCTGTCAGCTTTTTGATGGCGACTTCCTTAATATATAGGAACTCAAGATGATAAGAAATCTGTGTGCCATTTACTGACCTGTTTAACTTTCATGTCTTCTGGCTGTTTGCAAATTGTATTCATTCTGCTAAACAAATTTTGAAGAAAAACCACAGAGAAATGTGTATTTATACAGAGAGAACCTGCACATAGTCTCATACTGTCAAGCTTTTTCATGTATTTTGTGCATCTATGTAGACTCTTACAAGAGTCTAAATCCTAAACTAAAGGCTGGAGTCACATATCAGTAAAAATTCAAGCATTCCATATTTTGCTTGAGTATGTTGATGTAGAACTTGTAGGATCCAGTCAATTTAGACCTTTCTAACTATTACATGCTATCACCAAACATTTTTTACTGCCTCCATTCTAACCCCTTCTGCTAATAATAATAATAATAATAATGGATACTTTATTGATCCCCATGGGGAAATTACTTGTTTTTCCTCTGCATTTGACCCATTCACTCAGTGAAGCAGTGGGCAGCCCACTAAGCAGGCGCCCGGGAGCAGTGTGTAGGGACGGTACCTTGCTCAGGGGTACCTCAGGGTAGCCGTTAAGTGGATTCGAACCGCCGACCTTCCGATCATGGGCGACCACTTTACCTACTGAGCTATCCCTGCCCCACTATAATACTAACCACTATAATAATAACTTGCTGGAGTCACTCTTTAATTTGTCATAAATATATGCAACCAGAAGGTAGAGATTGCCAAACAATTCAACATTCTTTTTTTTAAAATCTGCAACTGAGAAAACAAAATTGGAAAAAGTTACAATCATTTTTCATTTGATACACACACAGACAAAAAGCAAATAAAAGTTTGTTGTGTATTTCTTTTGTGACATTACACACCCTAAGATAAAAGGAATCTTTTAAACTTTCATTTCCTTTTTGTTTCAATACTTCCCTAATGGAAAGTGTTTCAGTTTAAAAAACGAAATCATCTTTATGTTTTGTTTTTATAAATGCCTCTGTAATAATCCTTTTTTGTATTTCTGTGTTATGTGTGTAGAAAGGGATGCAGTTCCGCATGAACTGATTAGCTACATAATGCATTAGGCATGAATAAAAAGCTATACACAACAATACTGTTGTCTTTACTTTCATTTTTTTATTTTAATTAATATATCCAGCTATCAATTTACACCTTTATTTAATTTTATGGGAAAAATTGGTAACAAATAGAATTTGAATCAGTGACTTACTAGAACATTGGCAATCTGCTTGTAGTTGTGTGCTTTAATGGTTCCTTTTTTTCACCATTCGAGGTACTCACAGTGGTCCCTGGCTTAATTCCTATTCCTTTTCCTAGACAAACTTGCTCACGTGATTTTTACACAATAGATTTTAGGTTATATTAGAACATTTTGATGTGTTCACCCAAAATGTATGCCTCATCTTTAGGCATGGTAGAAACTGATTGATTAAAATTGAAGGGGCTACTTGAAGAGACAAGCCACAACTCAAGGTAGGAGAAGTTAAGTTGCTTATGTTGATAAGTTAGTTTGTAGTACATTGTAGATGCCATCCCACTACCAAAACAGACAAGTGATGCGCATTTTCTACAAATTATTATTGTTGTTGTTGTTGTTGTTGTTGTTGTTGTTGTTGTTATTACTACATAACCTTTATTTAATTAGTATGACCTTTAAGGCGACTGTGGCTCAGGGGGTTGGGAATCGCATCTGTAACCGGAAGGTTGCCGGTTCGATCCCTGGGCTCTCTCTCTCCTGGTTGTTGTGTCCTTGGGCAAGACACTTTACCCTACTTGCCTACTGGTGTTGGCCAGAGGGGCTGATGGCGCGATATGGCAGCCTCGCTTCTGTCAGTCTGCCCCAGGGCAGCTGTGGCTACAACCGTAGCTTGCCTCCACCAGTGTGTGAATGTGAGAGTGAATGAATAGTGGTATTGTAAAGCGCTTTGGGTGCCTTGAAAAGCGCTATATAAATCCAATCCATTATTATTAAGGTTAATGATCAGTAATTACATCCATTAACAACAGTAAAAAGTGAATAAAACCTGTAAACCATTTTAGTTAATGCAAGTTAATTCCAACGTCTGTCTGTAGGCTAACAGAAACTACTGATGAAGACATCCATAAAAATGTCACCATTAATAATGATGAAATTATTTAAAGTAGTGGTAGGCAAAATGTTTTTTGGGACCACTGATCAAAATCCAATCTAACAACTTTTCAGCACACAGTAATTCATGATGTTTGCTGGTGTGAACATTTGTGGCCTGCCTGACAGCTCTACTGTTCTCTGGTCTTATTGTGCTTTTTTTCCCCTGCATCACTTTTCTGAATTTCTGCCCAGCTTCGAGGTCCTAATTATGACTGGTGGCTTGAAATTAGAGGGATGCGTCATAAGTAAAGAATGTTGGTTTCATAACATCATATTCACTCAATATTTAATGTTACCTTCAAGAATAAATGGAACCCCCAGTTTAACTCTATTTTTCTGTGTGTGACTGATCAGTAATGACAGCAGACCTACCTATTTCCGTTTGGTCGAAATGAAACTGCCATCATTACAAGATCCTGCTGCATACTTGCATTCCTTATCCTAATATCCTCATAATTACAAGTTAATGTACAACAGATTGATGACAGCTGTCTCCACATCTAATCGACAAGAGAGAACCGGCAATAGTTTGTTTACAAAAATGTAAACAATCATTATTTTAACACAGTGTTTGTGTTGCTGCCAGTCTAACTCCCTGCACGCTGGTCAATGACTTCCCGTCTTTTACTAAAATGGATCAGAGTTCGCTCTCTGATCCATTTTTTAATTTCCTTTTTTTGACTTGAGCATAAAATCAAGTGTGAAGGCGTTATTTGTTTTGTGGGTGTGTGTAGGATTCATAAATGAATAATGAAAAACAAATCACTTTTTGCATTTTTGAGATTTTAGATTCTCTGAAGAATATGAAGAAAAACAATGATGCATATTTTGCAAGATAATGTATATTTGAGTTATTCTGAATGAGTGGCATGTGCAGGGTGAGAATATTTTTTTACATTTGTGGAAGATGATGTATATCAGTTTCTTCACGGCAAACAGATTGCAGCAATAAGGTGGAAAAAAGCCAGAGTTTCTGGCTTCACAATGAAAAAAAGCAGACTTTGCACATTCATGATGCGTAAAGTCGTGTAACGTTAATCTGAACTCTGTTCAGCTCCACAGGCTGCTATGTAACCAGTTAAACCTGCAGGGAACCTTTAACACCAAATACCATCTCACTCTTAGGCACTCTGCTCTGTGCTACTGCTATTTAAGTGGCTAAAATATGGAGATGTGAGAGTCATAAGATCAACACAGACACAACCAGATGTCTGCAGGGCATATTCTGGTTGGGTTGTAGGCTTGTTCTGTAACATCTGATTCAAACGGGTGATGTGGTTCAGTGCAACAGCTTAAAATCTCTAAAACCAATACAGGCTACAGAAAACGGTACAGTGTGTATTAAATAAAGATGATTTAACATGGATTTTTTTTTGTGTGTGTGTTTAAGGGACTAAATCTATCCTCTTGTATTTGTTCTTTTGGGTTCTCTGGAAAAAGAAAGAAAATAGAACATCAAGCAGGGGCAGATTTCCTACCCTCAACACGACCCCCACTTGTCACAGTCACCTCTCATTCAAAGGTATTTTTATCAAGTAAATGTAAAGCACTTTCACCGTGGGCTTCTAAAAAGAAACGAAAACCCTTGGTTGAAGTCGCTCTGGTAGCTGCTGATGAATATCTCTGCGTCCCGCACAAACCTCTACATACATTGCTCTGGCACTATATTCACTTCGTGATATCAGGAAGCGGATCATTTAAAAAGGAGGACTAGCTCTGGAACTCTCAGATAAAATGGCATGCCTGTTGCACAGGCGTGCCTTCATTAAAGCCAGCAGTGCTGATTACAGCGCAGTCACGGTGATGGATTTATTCACGACTAAAAACTTAGTGGAATGGGACGACTGGCATCGATTCAAGGGGAGACGTAAAAAAAGACCAAGAGTGTAGGAACTTGACGGCGCGAGCTGTGGCTTGATGAATCAATAGCAGAAGCTCCACTGCGCAGTGAAGAGAGAATGCTCAAATAGTGGAAATCTGAAGTACGAGTGAGACTCAGGATCACCTGCTGAATACTGAATGTGAGCTGGGAAGTATTTGTAAACCTCAAACATGAACCAAAAATCGTGACAGGTGGTGCGTAACCACGGGGATGGCACCCAATAATTGTCTCTCTTCTTTTACCGACCGGCTGAAAGCGCTTACAGCGCAGTAAACACCCAAAGTAGGCACGCATGCACACGGACACACACAGCTCTTACCTTTGGAAATAACCGATGCTGTGCAATAAATAAGCAGCAGGAGCCCCCTCAGAACGAGGTAACGTCCTTTTGTCAGCGTGCCCATACCGACGCGTAGCTCTCCACGGATACGCTATAGAGCTGACGGTGCTCCGGGTCTCTGATGCCTGCTCTTGCCTCCTCCTCCGAGCTGGACGAGCCCCGGCAGCGCAAGTTCCTCGTGTAAACCAGGGAAGCGGACAGTTGGACGCTCTGTTGGGAGAAGGAGGAGCAGCGGCAGCAGGAGAAGTGAACGGCTGGCGGGCTGGACTATTTGTCGAAAGGGAAAAAGCATCTTCACTTCACTTTTGCTGTGCGTGTGTGCGCAGCAGGGGAGACGTGCGCTCCGAGTTTACCCCCCTTTCCAGGCATCATCATCCCGGAGCCTGCCCTGTGCTAACCAATGGCAGAGTGAGAAAGGCGGAGAGGAGGAGACGGAGTGGTAGGCTACTCGTAGGCCTAATCAGTCAAATGTTTCTTCTTTTACAGTAACGCACCAAGCAGCCCAGCAAAGGCGTGAAGGATGATGATACAGTTTACAGGTTTGGAGAAACTGTCCGAAGAAGAAAAGTGGGAGGAAAACGGCTTCATTTCCAACCAGCACAAAGCTGTGTCTCACAGTGTCCGGTATAATCTGATCAATTATAGCCAAAGTAGAGCACTGATCAACAGAAACGCGCCAGTGTGATTTTCTTTTAATGTGCCCCTCAGCTCCAAGGTATGTTTGCTGGTATTCTTATATGTGATGAATAAATGAAATTTTTGAAAAAGAAAAAAAAATAGGTATGTAATCATGGTAAAACACCTCATTACAAAACCTCAATACCAGCTGAGAAAAGCAGATACTGACTCTGAGCACACTACTCATTTGTGTCCAAAATGATAATACTTTGATTGATTACAAACGAGTGTAATTTTGATGAAGCTTGGAAGCAACTTCTAACCTGTAGATTTTTCCATGTATGTTTTTATGAAATACAGTGTAGCAGACTTAGGTATTCTGAACTTGGTTTAATTCAGTGGCATCATCTCAGTTATTAAAAGAAAAAAATAAACTATAACCATCGTCTTTTTTGTCTTCACCAATTTCAACAACTGTGCTTCAAACTTGGCATGCATGCAGCCAGACCCAGCAGGCTAATAGGTCTCATTTTCAAGGTCTTTTCCTTTTTGCTAGGCAGCGGCATCAAAGGTACATTGTCATCATTTTAAGGACCTCATAGTTATATGCAATCTGAAATAACACATTTAGGTTTAGAATAAATCTCCACAGTCTGTGACATGTACTTTTACTGATGCTGGGCAGTGTTCCAACTTCACTAACCCTTCTCTTCTTCTTATGGGCAGAAGACCTTCAGCTTCTGTCCATGAACAGTTTTAGTGGTCAAGATGCAAAGACTGTGGGGCGACCGTGGCTCAGGGTGGTTGGGAAGCGTATCTGTAACCAGAAGGTCGCCGGTTCGATCCCTGGGCTCTCTGTCCTGGTCATTGTGTCCTTGGGCAAGACGCTTTACCCTACTGGTGTTGGCCAGAGGGGCCGATGGCGCGATATGGCAGCCTCACTTCTGTCAGTCTGCCCCAGGGCAACTGTGGCTACAACCGTAGCTTGCCTCCACCAGTGTGTGAATGAATAGTGGCATTGTAAAGCGTTTTGGGTGCCTTGAAAAGCGCTATATAAATCCAATCCATTATTATTATTACTGTACTTGGTGGAAAGAATAATGGGACTCTTAACATCAGGTCAAGTCCCATCTGGCACTAGGATTTGTAGTAAGTTCAACCCTTTATATTGAATTTTCGCCTATTTGAAACAGCCAAATGGAACAGAGGAACAGTGAAACAAAAATCAATGTGTGAGACTTTATTGGAAAGATAACATCTTCTAGTTTCTGACAATGAGCTTATTTAACATGTGGCTAAAATAACTCCCATCTAAACCTAAACCTACTCCTATTCTCAGTGAGATTTTTACCTGGATAAATAAAGGATTAATTTAAAACAACAACAACAACAAAAACTCTAGACTGCGCAACATGTACAGTGAAACAATGTTGTTGTTTTTTTATTCATACCTGTACTTTACAATCAAAAAAATAAATTGCAAGACCAAAATCAACTATGACTGTATCCTAACAGATGTATAGTCTGTATCTTAACGGTGCTGTCTAGAATTGTCCACGGTATTAGAGGTACCGATGTGACATCCATCCAGGCCTTCAGTTTAAAGACAATCACTGGCTGTTGTTAATATCCATGACAGTTAAGTCAATACTGAATTTAAAATGATGATTAGCTGAGGATACTAAATAATATGGATGTTCAGTTCACAGTAAATAATACATTTTTAGAAAATCATTAATATAAATGCTTTTAAATTTTCTATTAATTTTCACTTAAGATTCTGTGGAAAATATTGTCAATCAATTGATCCTTTTCTTAACTGATTACCCAATATAAGGTCACAGGACCAGGGAAGGAGCAGGTGGGGGCTTGTGGATGGAGGAGTTCTAGAGACTATCTCAGCTGTCAGCACAAGGGGCAGGCTACACCCAACATAGGTTACCAGTCCATCACGTGGCTAATACAGAGAGACAGACATGCTCACATTCACACCTACGGCCAATTTTTTTGAATCACCAATTAACCTAACAGCAGATGGATGGTGGGAGAAAGCCAGAGCACTCGCAGAGAACCCACACAGGTACAGGGACAACATCTCAATCAGCTCAAGCAATATTCACACAGAAAAACTCAAACTGGTTGGGGCTGAATGTAGGGCCTTCCCAATTTAAGGTGACCACTCCTGGTTGTGCTAACCATTGCTACTGTAAAAAATAGTAAACTCAATAATTATTGCACATCATGCTGTACTGTAAAGTTTTACTTCTTCTTAGGGTGAAAGTTGGAGTGTTTTCATCAACATTGTTTGGGTCGAATTTGACTTGTTTTCAAGTCCTGATGTATGAAACATACATTTTTTCTTTCTGAATTACTTACTTTTAAAACTTCTAGGGCATTGAAGGTCACATTTATTGTTTATGCACAGAAATACATAGTAAATGAGCTGAATAAGTCCAACAAAACTGTAAACCTTTTGACTTGAATTCAGTTGCAGAGGTGAACAGAGCAAATATAATCCCTGCAGAGTCACTGCAGACTTCCCTGAAGACAACATAGGTAACAACAACAGCTTGATTTACTCTACAAGAAAATACACAAAATTGTGGTTAAAATTTATGGACAAAACAGAAAACACTGTGTTTTTTTGTTTGTTACTGGATAGATCGCAAGTCAGAGGAAAGTCTTCTACAAAGATTCTTGATGTTCTTTGTAGAAATGTACAGAATTTACCATCTGTGGGGTTTTTGTAAACAGGTTTTTAGCATTTTAAATAATGTTCTTTGCAGAGTTACTGGAGTTTGAAAATATGTGGCAACTTAATGCATTTTGTGTAAAAGCAATGGAAAACTCTTCACGTTTTTTTATCCACATAGACTGTTTCACTTACTGTAATAGCAGTTTTGACAACGTGACTTCAGTTTTGACCCATACAAATGACCAAAAACAGATGGTTCCATTAGCAGGTGTGTCAGGGGCAATGCTTTTGTTCACCACAAAACAATTAAAAACCCATCACTGAGTTACAGTGTGGCCATCTGACAAATTACAGATGAGTGGGAAAAAAAGAAAGAAAACCACAACTTTAATGCACTTTGCCACTGATTCCACAAGTCTCATGAACGCTAGTGGATGGACTGAACACCATTCTTCTAAAAGATATTTCATCCATCGTTTTTTGGTTTTAGCTCTTTCCCCCTATAAAGATGACATTTGACGACCTCCCCTGTACCATTCATAACAAGTTTTGACACCTCCGAATATATCAAAGACAGAACAGTTTCCTGGTTTTTCCAAAGGTAACTGCAGAGACAGAGACCACCCTCACTAACTTCTGACACAAACCCAGTCATTTTGTTCGATAGGCATGCCTGAAATATGACAGAGACTCCTCATTTCAGAAAAGAGCTTCTAGTAGGTTTTTCAAAGGGTAAAGTGTTAATGGTGGTGGAATTTCTGTCATGATCTGGTACAGGGATTCAAACGCAGAGCGGTAAGGTATCTCCAAGGTGTAGTTTATTTACAGTGCCAGTGCAATATATGTACAGTGAAGGGATCCAAAACTCCGGGGGAATCACAGGGTAACTCGCTCACGTCTTCTTCGCTCACACTCACACACGTTCCCGCAGCAGGGAGGTCGCAGGTCTGGGGGGAAGATCTGAGGCAGACGAGAAGGCAGGTCACCAACTAATCACAAATCACAAATATGAAGCACAAGAGCTGTGAGAACACTAACGTTAGGGGTACAATCATCCAGCGACGAGAGGATCTGTGTTCCAGCCTCAAATAGTGCTCCCGGTGATGATGGGTGAGTGTTGTCAGGTGTGCTCCCGCCCTTGGCCCACACGGCCAAGGGCAGGAGCCCACAGTGAGCTCCGCCCAGGCAGAGAGGGAGAGAACAGAAACAGCAACTGTAGCCTTGTGGGGCCGACCGGGCAGGCACGGAGACCATGACAATTTCTAGGCACTCTGGTTGGGTTCAGGTCATTTTCACATTAATCAAACAGTTCAGTGGGACTATTGGTCCCGCCATCATAATGCTCTATGAATTTAGGGACTCTTATCTTGGAAGAGACCAGTCCCATCAGACTGAAATTTTTCATCACTTGGTAAAAGTGATCACTTACATTTTTTTTAATGATTTACAGTGACCTTTCCATCCAAGAGGACAAGTGGACTCAAACCACAGCAGAACCCCCCATTCCTTCATTCATAATTATTACATTTTCCCTGACCCTTTTCGCATAAATTGTAGGAAATGAATTTATAAAATTACAGAATAGTTTTGGTAGCTCATTGCCCAGACTTTCTTATAATTATAAAACAGAAAGAAATTCAGAGAAAGCTCCCTCCGGATAAAAAAAATTCCCAAGTGTTCTTTAAGCCTGAGGTTGTTTATTTGACACAAAACATAGCCAGTGAACTCAAAACTGCTGCAAACGTCAAGGAATCCCAACACAAACTCTGACTTCATTGTTCATATTGAAGTGAGCTGTTACATAAAATGTGTAAGGGCAAAAAATCATAAATGTGTTCTTTATTTTGTATCTTCTACACTTTGTTCTTCAGTCAAAATTTTCAGCAACTCTGCCATCAGGCAAGAGTGTTTTGTCAGGAAGATCTTGACCTGATTCTGTGCTGCAATGAATTATGTTTTTACTCTCATCTGATGCAGAAGTGATGTTCTGTGGTCAATGTAGCCCACAGAAATCTGTGCACAGGAAG